TCACTCCACGAGGAGATTGAACTCATAGACATATATTAACCTAGACATTGCTAGACACTGCCTTTTATTTGGCTGTAATATCGGAACCTACGATTTTTCTTTTTTTTAGAGAGAGGGAAAAAAACGGCACCCATGACAGTACATGGTCTAGGCGCACAAGTCTATGAATAAAAATAACTTGTTGAGCGCTACCAAAAGATGCCTGTCTGTAAACAGTTATTAAAGCCTCCAACATTCTCGCTGGGCAGGGGAAGGGGATTTTTTAAAGAACGAAAAATGAATGTTATTATGCCATAGACGCCTCTGTAGTAACACAGTACAGGCGTTATGTTTTATTCAATGTTGTGAAAATCTGAAGAAAACAAAGTACAAAACACAGCTCCTCTTTTCGACATTTCAATCCAATTACCAAAAGCCAGTGCCAACACATGTCACACCAAGGACGACAACCAGTTTTAAAAATGGTGAAATGGTACAGGTTTAACGCCCCTATCAATACCATTAGGTTATTTAACTGCGCTTCCCCCACGGTTTTTAATTTTAGTAGCGGTTTTACGACGCTCGCAACTGCGTAAGGTCATATGAGCGCCAAGGGGTGGATGTCAACAGAGAAGTCCTTACAGGGAATAGGGCTTAAAATTACTCTGCTTACCTCTCTAGCTTAAACAGCACAAAGTCTGCTTCGACTATCAAGGCACCCCGGAAATAGCGGGTAACAAGAGTGTGACAAACATACAGAAGAAGTAGAGGAAAATGACAATAGTAAGTGTTATGAAAGAATAAGCAGCAGTTCCCTGTTGCAGTTCAGGCAGTTATGAGCATGACATTGATGAATCAGCCCGTTTACAATTCTACTGTGCATAAGACCATATTATTATTAAAGTTTCCCCTTTGGGAGTGGCCTTAAAGACTCTTCAATCAGTAGCACCGCCCCGGGGGGCGTCCCTCCGGTTTGGTAATTGTTATCACATTTTTGGGTTTTTTAAATCTCCATTTAAAAACAGATTTCTGTCTAGATTTTACTGAAAATCTTTTATTAAAGGCACATTTAAAAAAATAATCACATCTTCTGTTGCATTTAAAGCGCGAAGCCCGCATCAATAATCACACATTTTCTAATCAAATATACCGCCACAGCGTCACAGCGTCACAGCGTCACACCTTATATTAAGTAATGATCATGTTTAAAATATCCTCGTCGCTAAAGGAAGAGTATATCGGTTTAAAGCTCTAATATACACTTTAAGGGCATGTAAGAGATGAAATGAAACCTCCAAATTAAACATCTGTCTCCGACAGGACCGAGCAAAATGGGTTGAGAGCCTTGAAAACTCCACAACATGACTCGAGTTCAAGAACACGCAGTCTGTGATTCAAAGCAGGGCTATCCTGTCTGTAGTCCAGGATGATACCAACAGAGGTAATTTAACGGGGCGCAATATCTTTATACGCAGTCTGTGATTCAAAGCAGAGCTATCCTGTCTGTAGTCCAGGATGATACCAACAGAGGTAATTTAACGGGGCGCAATATCTTTATCTCGTAATTAAGTTTTAAAAGTTTGGGGAAAGGGGGGGGGCTGGAGAGAGAGAG